CTTATTTGAGCTTCTCAGGTTAAGGTGACCGGAACTGGAATTGGAGCCGTTATTGCAGGGATTCATGGCAGACGGCTTAATCAGTAATGCATTGGATTTCACGAGTAACGTTTGACACAGTCGTTAGATTTCTGTCTACTACGTTTCCACCATCACTGGTCTGTTTTCAATCACTCTGCGTCACTCATTGTCTGTCAGACATCATGAAGCAACGATAACTCCGATTTCTGGCACTGGACTCATGCGCCACTCTAGCACTGTCGATATTTCTATACTCTCCTAGGTTCGCGCTTTTGGCTACGTGCCACGTGCACACACGTTCAGTCGATAGTTTTTGCTCTTCATAGTCTTATATTTATGTCATCTGGTGACCGCTTGGTTACAGTCGATGATGAATCTGCATGGGCGGAATGGGGATGTGCTTCAACAGGTGCCAAGTTTCATCTTCAGCATTCGTCGGAAATTGGCGACTAGGGCTTTTTGTTGGACACCATGCCTTTTACAATCTTGAATGAATGTCAATTTATATCGAGTGGCCTACGTCCCTAAGAAACAGGACTGTCTTGAATTATGTGCATTTTGAAACCCACTGCAATATCGGTGTTGATGCTTCCATTAGCTGCGAATGCTCCCTCAGTTAGGGTTTTCTTGCACACCAAGTACTTTACATTCAACTTATTTCCTGTCGTCGTTTGGGCCTCTTCAGGCAGTTTTCGTTCTGTTTGCTCACAATTGCAGCCTGTAAATGTGTCCCGTCAAAATTGTGGCTTGCGTTCGTCGATTGATCAAACAAACTAACCTTTGGGTTTCGCATCGCAACAATTTTTCCAGCACGTGGATTCACTAGGTCCGAGGAATTCCCAGTCCGAATTGTCAAGTTGCTGACCTCTGGTGAAACCCGCTGCGGCTCGATACTTTTCCATCATCGTCACATCTGTTACAATCCGTTTGTCATATCTTTTTGAGCTGTAATAAATCGCATTGTTGCTTCACACTGGAACGAGTACTGCAATTGCTGCTGAGGGAGGATTTTCGTAAGTGCACTTATCTTTAACGAATTTCGAATATCGCTCACCAGCCAGGCTATCCAACTCCAGTAATGGTTTACGCATTCTTCGAATATTGAGCTGAAGTTGAGCTATTCCATATTACGATTGTCCATTGTGATACCCCTCCCATGTTATCCATTCGCAAGGTCCACACTATTTCGATATCGAATCGGATATGCTCCTTTTTCGAATAGTGACCTGTCCATTGAAACCCCTAGCGAATCGATTTACCTACGAAGGACCCAGTATGTGTTTTCGCCGGAAACTGCCTACCTTCTAACCTTATTTTATCTGAACCAAGTGAAGTGTGTTCGTACGTCCACCTTCCTATCCCCTTTCATAATCATTTGCACGTACTGAGCAAATTAAGCCTTGTTAGCGTTTTTTTGCTGCTGTTCGTATCTGCTGGAAGCTGCAATTCGTCGCTAGGACAAACCAATAATATTGTATGCGTCGTACGTCTTATCGTGCTTTATGTCCTGCTCTAAGCCATCAACAATTAGTTTTAGATAAACCTTAAGTTAAACCTAAGGCAAACGCTTTCCGAGTCTTCTTAGGAGATCACTTTAACACCGACTGGTGCATTCCGCTTCCTTACGTCTATGGACCTAATATGCGCGAAGCAATTCTCGCGTGTGCCGTTAGGACCGTGGAAGCCTTCATTGGTCATTCTTTCAGGATTCATCAATTGACCTAATCACCATTGCGAGTTTGACCTACCGACATTCCGCAGCGGTGGATAGAGTGTTACCATATCGCCTCTTGGAAATTCACTACTTACTTTGTTCAACGCCCATGTGCGCGCGTACGAAAACACCATCACGAGACAGCGAATTATAATCGAAGTAACTTATCTTAGCTGCACCCCCTCACATATCCTTTCATATCATTTTATTTGGCGTATCGCGAGTAATCGGTTAAGCATTTTCCAGCGATCAGCCGAATCATGCTCATTCAAAATCGTCCGGACCGTCCACACTTCAAAAATGAACGCGTACTCCAATATTATTGTTCATCTGCCCTCGTTTCTTAACATCATTAAATCGCTACGTTGATTACCACCTGCTTCGCTGCTTCTACATGCGCATCTTATTGATGTGCTATCAGTGAGCAACTTTGGCGATAGGTCAATGCTGCCAACGAAAAAAAAATCAATGAATGTCCTCGGGTTCAGTTGCTATTCAGTCAGTTAGCCATTAGCAATACGCCGACACACTGTACCGACGCTTCGGTGTTACACAATCACCATGGGTCGCGCGTGGGCTGAGTATGCCGCAACAACGCCCGCCCCTACCCAGATTCGAAACGGTGACATAATAATTGCAAGCCAAGCGTGTACTCCTCTCGGCCGAAGGATTCGGTTCCAAATCTGTATATCCGGTGTTGCCATTATCCATTAGTCCACTGAAGGATCTTGGGGTTTCTCCGTTAATAAAATAAAGAAGTAATGTCAGCTGTACGCTGTAACGGCGCTTCGTTACCGTGCGACCACTACTGGTAACACGCGAGCAGAGTATACGACGATGCGGCCCACTCCTACGCGCATTCGAATCCGCGCTGCAAGATTACAAGACACGCTTGTTTCCTCTATTCTACTAACCGATTGCTTCTCCGGTGCTCTCCGGCTGATCATTCAACAAGCGATGTGCCGCATTTAATTAAATCGATTGTCAAAGTTATGCATTCGTGCTTTAATAATAGGTTTGTGGAATCAATACAACTACGTCTCAACTGGAATCTTTCCGCCGATTGGCGTTTTCACATCGTACGTCCGTTCTTACAGTATCTACACTTGACGTCTTTATCGTTTTGTGCCTAATCAACCAACTAGTTTCTTTACTGCCCAACCATGTAAGACGCGATGTGATACTGGGTACTTATTGAGATAGTTAATCCACCGAACATTAGTGCGTAAGGCAGGTTCTGCTCGATGCGTTATACACTAATGATGGTTACGTACAACGGATGTCTTCTGATCAGCTGATTTGCTCTGAAACATGTCTGCTTGCAAGTTATCATGCAATAGACGGCACTTGTGATGCTGGCTCGTCGCGGAGATTGCTTTTAACTCGAACTATCCGCACCAGGCTGTTGTAACCGATGTTGATCACCTTCCCACTGACGTGCGAAAATGACTGTTCCCTTTGTTTCCTATCGGGTGATTATCAATCGACAATTGCTTCAAAAATGACCGATAGTTGAAGCCAATCTAGTTCAACTTTTTAGACTTACGATTCACAGTCACCGTCACTGCCCTAACGGCTTAGCATCTCATCGCTCTACCGAATGTTTTATCGCCGGTGAAATTATAGATGAGTCAGTATCCAAAATTTCGCGCGTCTAGATTATGCTTTATCCCCCGCCCATAAGGCGCAAAATCCGTGTGACATTTCAATTATGGATCCGTTTTATCATTGCAATCCATCTTAAACTGTCCCTCGTTGTTTTGTTAGCTAACAACATGAATGGTCGCTTTCATGCGGATATGTTTAATTCAAACTAACAATCCCGCAAGGCGATAATGATCTCCCTACCTATCATCATCGCATTGCTGTTCGTGCGAGTGAACAAATGCACAAATGGGGACGTTCAAAGTGTGAATCTGGATTTGCGTTTAGATGGAAAGCATGTTGCGCTGCGAAGGTTACGCGTGATACGTACAAATGTTGTTCGTTGTTAGTGTCTTGTGAGTTAACGCCCTTTGGACAAGCTTTACCTTACCTGCTGTCGGCTCATAGTTCGCGATCACAAACAAAAATAAACGACAGATGGTTTGTTAAAGATTGACAAACAAACGGATACTTCTCTAACAGCTCAGTTACCGCATAGAGATGTATCGTCAATACCACCTATCCTCCAATTTCTTGAGTGCTTGGACTCTATCGTCATTGCTCGGTTTTCTTATTCGGTGGACAACCCGAGCTTGTAAGGTGTTGAAGATTTCGCCCTGTTGTTTCCTCTGCTCATAACAGCCTCTAACTATAAATAATTATTTCTCAACAGAGCGCGACATGGTTAATTACACATGTGCGCATTCGCCCATGCATGGTGCACCATTCAGTGGCTTGGAGTCTATGTGAAGTCTTTATCTGCCTTCTGTCTCGATGCCAATCCGTTGTGTTCAGTCAACCATCTGAGTTCGACGGCCTGCTGCTGCATGTTCTGTTGCATTCCTATTTGTTGAGCAGTACACCAATGTGCAAAACTGCCTACGGTTGGTGAATGATGCTCGGATGGAGGAGACGCACCCAAAAATGTTGTGTATGTGGATTCCAGTAATCAGGCAACACTTCGAACCTGCCCCCGATTGTGTGTGCGATCTGTTTATGTTTTCTCGTTCTTGTGCTTGAAGGGAATACTCGAGACTATTGGATCGTCTCATAACGATTGTATCTACAACTACTTGGAACTTTCCCTGCTTGTTCTTTCGGCGGACATAGCGTCTAATATTTTGACAAAACACTGAGTTGCTGCATGCTTGCCGTGACCTCACCACCATTCTTCTTTATTTATCACCCCTAGTACCACATTAATGCATATGATCGCTCGTAGGTTACCATCTCGGTCCATTTGTTGCAAAGCGCGAACGCCAATATTTGTCTCTGACGTCAGGGGATATGTTCGTTCTCATTGATTAGACATCCGTGCACCTCATGCTAGTCAGCCAGCCCCTCGCTGATGCGCATATCTTGACGAGGCTTTTCAATCGCACACTTGAATTAGACCTACCCATCACTGCTTTATGAATGGGAGTGTTGCGTCGAAACCTATTCTACTACCTAGGGGGTGAGATAATGGTTAGCCGGAACGCATCGTCTGCCCGTTGTATCAATCATCTCCGTTTACCTCACCTTTGTTGGATGCTGGTCCACTGCACTATCCCCCCTAGCTAATATGTTTGTGATTACATTGCCCGCCACAAATTCGGGAAAATAACTCATGAATTTTTTAATTCCTCTATGGAAACAACAAATGCAAACGAAAGAAACCAATATTGGCAAATAACTACAAGCTGCTGTTCCCCGCATCGATTGGCGCGTTTCCAAGAAACGAGCTAATTGGTCAATTTAACACGATGCTTGTGTGATGCGTCTCATACTGAACGCAGGGGGACTGTTCCGGCACAGCCATTATTTGGTAACTAGGAGCCTTTACACTGACTGTTCGTAACATCAGCTGTATATGGGCCACATCAAGCCGATGCAGATACAAGGAATTCTCGCGGTCCACTCCCCGATGGTCTGCGTCTGGAGGTGAAGGTGGTCCTCACTGCCATGGGTCCGAATGTTTCCATGTTTAACTGTCGTTCCCTTCGCGCAGCGTTACCCGGAGCGTAACCCATGGCAGGTCCACCACCACCATATCCACTCTGGTTGTACGTCCCCCTTCCACCAGTCGAGGAATAGGGTCCTCTGGACCCGCCTTCCGAACGGCTGATCTGATCAAAGAAACACTTTTCCCGTACATAATATTCACCTCTACAATGAAAAAAGATAATTGGTATAAGTTATATTTTGCTGCTATGAGAACGTCCTCATAGTTGCTCCTACTAGACGGAAAAACTGCGTCAAAATGCATGACATACACCATGCTTTGCTGGAGTCGGGGCATATGCAATTGCAAAGGCTACTTACTCACCCCCTGAGCAACAGCGGGAAACGTTTCAGTAACAACAGACCTTTCCATATTTGCGGAGGTTCTTACATCAGTTTGGCGCTTTCCGTATGTTCCACTGATTGGCTGTGTACCCCTCACCTACCAGCTATTTGATCCTATCGGTTAGTGCTTCTGGCCAGCTTTACGCACAAGTGAACCAATCCTTTTTGTACGATAGTCCGCTGAGTCATGTTTGCTTTACCGTTTATGTAATCGACTGTCTTTCATTTGTATCGCCAGCTTTTCTAACCCCCTAATCTGGAACCAAGGCCATTCGACCGAGTCTACACACTGATCGCTATGAGTAGCTACCAGTCAGTTTCATCGTATGCTTTCGACATTGGGTTGAGTTTGCTTGGCCCAGAGCACTTTGTATGATCGGGCTACATGCGAGACTAGCGAATCCTCAGCGGCGTCTGCAATCTTCTTTACTTTCAGTTTTGCCTCATTTACACATGAACATGACCGCTTAGGGCCTCGTTCTTTCACACGTTCACGTATTGACCTAGTACTTATTTGGTGACATTGTCATCATACTTCTTATGCCTTCCAGTTGCAAAATTGCAATAGCTGTCTTACCTGTCTCAGGTGCCTATTTATGGCCTTCGGTCTGTTCTTTCTGTATTCGCCCCGGTCTCATCACAGCACTCTGATGAAAAGACTGCTAAGGTAGCGCTCATCTGTGCACTTTTACTTACTACGGCGGCCAAACTTTAATCAACATTCTGCCCCACGGTGCTCCCAGATGTATGTAAGGTCGATCTACGGATAACACCTTCGTAGTAGAAGGATGTCTATCATCAGTTGCAGATGCCATTAGTAAGGCCAATAGTACTAAAATAGGATCATGTTGGACACAGTCAATTAAGAATCCAATTGATCAACGTTGCTTGGAACAATCTAATTGGTTATCCATTGTCAAGTTATTATTCCCTCAGGTAAAAGACCAGCAACTCCCCGCTATTTAGTTCGGATTTGATTGCTTCCAGTTTGTTTCCGAAGCAGGTTGGCCATCTTTTAGCGTTCAGTCACTACTCTCATCATATGCAAATGCAAATAATTTACAGTTGGCTAAATGCACGCATCACATTCCAATATGAACAAATTGTCTAAGAACGCACTTGGCCAACGGGGTCGTGCCATAAACGGTTGCTGCAGAGCCGTTGGTTGCTCCATCCAATCCATTTCCACTTACTGTGGAAGTTACTGCACCGATCGACGAATCCCCGGATGCCCCGTTTCCTGATCCTGCGGACACTGCTGTAGATGGGGAACAGATTGCAGCAGATAGATGCCCATCACCGGTGGAGGCAGTCGCATTTCCATCGGCTTCCGCTCCGCATTCACTGACTTGGGTGTTGCTTGTGGCAGATGTCCCCTCGACATTGGTTGTCATTTTGGCAAGTTCTGCTTCAAGCTCGGCGTTGGCTGTTTCAAAGTCGTACGGTGACGTGCAGTCAATTTCTGTTGTGTTTAAAAAGCAGGAAATCAATGTGTCCTGTCGGATAAACTTGCTTTCATTTGCAAACTGACATTATTTATCCATCACCCAGTCACTTTAAGGAGTTTTCATTGCGACGCGGACAGCTCATCTGTAGATAAGTTACTGGGAACACCTATGAGAAAACTGCATTTTTTACTTGAAACTTCGTAGCCGCATCAGGGCTCTTTGATCTCATGAAGATCGTAGATTTATTATCTGTTTACTTCGAGATGTGCATTGCAGAATCGAGATGTCAATGGAAGTAACAAACCAGTGGAAGAGTGCTAATACATTAAGTACCGCCGAAGGGTTCAATAAAATCATCAGGTGGTAATCCTAAATACAGTGCACAAGAAAATTACTCATTCAGTGTGGCTTCCCATATTTTGGGTAATGTGTGTCTGCTTCACTATACCTTTCGGCCTACCCAGTAGCACCTGCAAAGCAGCTGGGTCTGACTCGAATTGAATCATGTCATCCACGTTCGGCCGTCCAATAGAACACCATTCCAGAGAGAATTAGAAAAGGACGTTAGTAAGGTATCCATAATCACTATTACGGGTAATACATTAGCCGGTGGTAATAAAGTGGTTCGGTTCGGCTTATTTTGTCACCCATGATCTATAGATTGAGGTGCGGTGGATCTAATTGACTTAACTGACTTCATCCATATCTATCACGGATAATAAATTTATTTAAACAGTGTAACAATGGTGTAATACAGGTAAAAAGAAGCGAGTGCCTAACAAGTTCCGTATGATGGCCAGAATGAGAAGCACAATATAGTGAAAGTAAAACAAAGTGACAAACTGTAATTCCTTTTGGTGGACTCACCACGATGTTCACGCAGTGGCATGCAGCAAGGAGCACGACCTCAATTGCATAGGTTAGTGCAAATTGTGCAACGTTCGTCACATTATTTCGTCTGTCGTTGTACACAGGCTATATCTCAAAGTGTAGGTGGATCAAAGCAGCGTCAAGGCGTATTTTAAATATAGTTGAAATGGGGGCGCAATCAACATTTTTTCGATGACGTTCCATGGCTGGCACACACGAAAAGAATAAAACTTTTGGGGACATTCCAACCGACTGTATTGCGTGGCCAAAGTGAGTTGGTGGCCCCTCAAATTCGTATTGCGACTGAGTTGCAGTAAGTGGCAGCAGACATGGTTTGGGTTCCTCAAGATCTGGGAGCCCATTATTAGGTCGACACATAGGCGCGTATATCAGCTGCTGTGCAATCTTAAGGTCCTCACCCTAAGGTGATATGAAGGATGGAACAACCCTTTGACGTACTTTGTGACTCTTCGCTGTGGAGTTTCGAGTGCTGCGAGATCTTGTTAGTACGAGGCCTGGATTACGGATTCCACATAAGGCCACACCTATGTGTTAAGCAACTGCGAACAACTAAAATGATCAAACCGCCCGAATGCCCTGCGCAGCATGCTAATCATGGTAGCCGTGGAGTGCAGCGTTTTCATGCGGGTGGCATCCCATTTACTTTTGCTTCAAGGTAATAATAATAATAATCATGCTTCGCACGGAATAAACACGCCTGACTCGTCGTGGGCGAAAGCCGTAAGCCCGAGTTCAACGAACGAATGCTGCAGCGTCACTGACTTAACCGCGCTATCTCCAATAAGATGTCCAACTACTGATGTGGCCAGTCCCGATGATTCCATCCGGAATGACGACACACGCCAGCCGGATTAGTTTTACGCACTTTCATGATTCTGTCCGTATTCTGTTTGCATTCTACCCCATTTTCCCACCATTTTATTTGCTGTTATCATGACGACGCGAGTCGCCGCAACTGGATCCGCCACACTTCTGTCACCGTTGTATAACTGATCTGAACCAAACCAACGGCTTTTCGGCGAGCTCCTTCTTGTTCTTTTTTCTTGATCACATCATTTTGACCGTCTATGCGCACAACAGTGACAAACACTACATATCGAGGTCACAGGCAGGTAGTCATGAGGAGCAAAGAATCGAACCAACTATAGCCACTCTACTTCAGTAAGCAGTAATGGTCACAATTGGATCATAACGTCCTCTGCACGCAACGACCACATCCGCGATCTATAAAGTAGCACCGATTGCATCGCAGCATTTTAAATCTTCCCCTTAACGAATACTCACATTTTGCCGTCTACAGGTGGCCGAGCCTGTGGAAAGCCACGTAGGTCTTAACTAGTTGTACAGTAACTCCTTGGGTGATATAGCTTCCAGGCGTAATCCAGGTATCCAGATAACTAAGCCTATCGACAACGGCGAACACTTCTGTGGTAGCCAGAACCGGTGGTGAATCGGCTCATTACGTTATCGTCACTTTGTAACTTACAAAGTACATCTCAAAGCGTGCAGTGCTAGTTTTTTTTGCCTGTCCAGTAGTTCCTGAATAGCAGCTGAGTTCGACCCAAAGAAAACTATGTCCTCCACATATTCTGGGTCTTAAATTCGGCCATCTAAGTGAACATCGATTCAGAGAACATTGAAATACCACATGAGAGCGAGGTATCCTTAATCATTCCTGGTCATAAAGTGGAAAGAAAATGTGACAACCCTAGCTTACTTCTCACGGTATGGTTAACTTAGGGGAAAATTTTCCGCTTAGGTGAACACGATTATGGGGGCTATGGCATAAATATTTTATGGTGGAGCGGGATTTCACTGATGTTCTTACAGGTTGTACACTGCCACAAGCAGGTACAATCAAAATCGACGTTCAGCTCAAAGGAGACTACTGTGATAGGCTGTTTGTGAGGATGGCAATCTTCAAGCACCCTCCCAAGACTATAAATGTGATCGGCACACCCTCTATGCGGAGTGAAACCCGCTGGACTTTCATTGATTCGTCTCTCTCGATGATCACTTAGTCACCACGACATGATGTTAGCAGCTTGAAGACTATTGAGATCAGACTGATGCCGTAAGGCATTTCGCAAAATGCCCTTTGACTATTTCGTGAGCATTTCCGCCTTGCGCCTAGTAACGTCGAACAATGAGGTCGAAGCGATTGTTAGTGAGCCGTCACCTTTACATGTGCTTGAAAGCCGTCTAAGCAGCGCGCTTTGTTCCGCATAAGCACCATTAGTTCATGTGGAATCTCCTCAGTGGTGAGACTTGTTTCGTTAATGTCCCACGAAGATTCAGGCAGCATATAATACAACTCGGATGCACCGAGTTGACTGAATTGGTCCTTAGATTGTCTCGCTTGTGAACTGCTGGGACGAACCAATTAAATTTCGCTTTATATCCTCCTACCCATACTAATTGGTATACACGGTGTGAGTTGGCCCCAAGAGGCTGAGTTTCCTTTGTTGGAGGTATGGGCAAATTTCGGGTTCGGTTGATAATGACAACTTGTGCAGCATAGTAACTTCCTTGCGTAGCCGAAATTATACGCTTAATTGTCTTCAGCGTGGCTAAGTCACCTTTGAAAGGTAACTCGATATACACTTTCTTCTTGGCTGCCGTGTGCACCAAGTCCTTTGGTCCTCGCGGTTGGCTGTGTTTCTCTATAAATCTTCGAGGGTAGCCATTCGCCATTAGTGTTGCTGTATTTAACACTAGCTCATCATCCAGACAGTCGGCCGAACACATTCGTCTGGCACGACTAACTAGAGTCTTCACAAGTGTCCGTTTGTATGTGACTGCGGAAAAAGTTACATAGGCAGAACCAATAGAACGCTGACTTCGCGAATAAAGAAACATGTGCCAAGATGGGTTCAACGTGAAGTTGCTCAGATTGCCTACCCTCGTCAGATTCCATGTTCTTGCAGACCGCCGGCTTCCTCGGTAAGCAAAAACCTGTTAGACTCGGGTCACCAATTAGAGCTGGGCTCAGCGTTTAAACTTGTGTTACGTCACACTAATCCCCGCTTCCTTCGGTTTGCTGAGGCTGTCGCGATAAGCCGGATTAAGCCAGCCTTGTGTGTTCAGAAACAATTATTTGTCAGCCTAAAGCTGCCTTGGACGTAGGTGTGAACTTCCGTCATTCGTTTTGCACTTTAAGCTTGTCTGGTTGCACCCACTGTTAGCTATATCTATGCTTATCCGTTATTGTTAATGGTACTGAGGAGACAATACGAAATGCATGCATCTACCAGCCTTCGTCTTCTTTCCGTGCTTTTCAAATTGTTGAAGGGAACCAACTGCTTTAAATATACTTTATGTGTTAGCTGTAGACTGCCCTTTGGGTCGCAGTGATCATGCAGTTAACCGTTTCAGCTTCATCTGCTATGTGGAATATTATCACGAGAACCGTGTGCGGGCACGCACCATTGCACGCTACGACCGTTTAGTTCAGCTTGCCAGTGTCACAACCTGGTCATTCCTCGCCATAAATCCCCCGGAACTCACCTGGCTCGAATTCGTCAGCAAGTTCAATCAACATTACGAATGATTCAGAGACATAAGTTTGCAATGGGCACAAAATCGTTTCTTTCGTAAGGAGCAGAAATTGAAAACTGGTTATTACACAGCACAGAATGGCGAGTGTGTAGATTATGTCCAACGCCAGGTATTTGGGACAACTACATAGTTCATCTTAACCACTGCACTCAATTGCTCAGAGATGACAAACCCGCATATCAGCCGAACCTCGCGAAACCTTCAACGCTAACAACAAACTGCCGTACAAACAAATCAATGACCTTCGTACAGTGGAGCAAGGGTTTCCTCCATTCCGGATGGCTGATGGTTCAACGAGAAAAATGAAATGAAATGTGTTAGCTTATACGCCGTAACGGCGCTTCGCTGCCGCGCGACCACCACCAGTCGCGCGCGGGCTGAGTATACCGCGAGGACGCCCACCCCTACGCGGATTCGAACCGGTGGCCTTATGGTTGGAAAGCAAACGTGCCAACCACTCGGCCTCACATTCCAGTAAGCCTTACGATCAGGTGATCTACCCTTTGTTTTTCTCCCGTCGGGTCTCAACTACATCTCTTTTACCGCGGCATCTGTCTTGCAACCA